AAAATTGAATAGACATTTAATTAAAATTATTTAATTTTAAATTTAAAATTTATTTCAAATGCAAAATTATATTATTTAAAAATTAAATAGACAATTAATTAAAATTTTTTAATTTTAAATTTTTTATATAAATTAGATAAAAATTTATGTGTAGCTATTAATTGACACAAATTGAATTTCTATTTTAAATAATTTACTGAAATTTTCAAAAATTCTAAAAAATAATTGGCTTTTGGTGGAAAAATAGATAACAAGTTTTAAAATTTTCTTCTTCTTTGGTATAAAATTAAAATTAGACTATTTTTATTGTTATAGAAAAATTCTACACAAATAAGACTGAAATAATATATAATAAGAAAGTCGATATCTATATGTATACATTATAACTAAGTCTGCCAGAGTTCAGAAACTTTTATGTCTAATAAGTGTATTCAACTTTGTCCTTGATACTTCGTTCAATGAGAACTACGCGAAGTTTATGTTGACAAGTTTCCCTAATAAGCTATTAATATAGCACTTGTGAGAATTTAATTTACATCCCTAATTAGTGCGAGTGTGATATTTGTCTTTTAGTCAATTAGCTAAATTTTTTATATTCCAACGAAACAAATTTTTATTTAAACAAATTATTTAAAGATTTAAATAATGAAAATTAGTTTTTCAAAGGAAATTTTCCAATTAATATACCAAACTCGTTATTTGTGTGTTAATTAATTCGCATTAACGAAATAATTGTCTGAAAATTATAAATATTCATAAATAATTATAGATTTTATAAATTCGTAAATAATAATTCTAGATTTTATGAATTCATGAACAATTATAGATTTTAAAAATTAAAAATTCACTAATTTATAGATTTCTAATTATAAATTCATAAGTGATAGATTTGCAAATTTATGATTTAAAAAAAATTTATAAATCATAAAATTATAAATTCAAATCGCAATTTGCCAATATAAATATATGTACTCTCTAAATCTGAATCAGCGAAAAAAGCGCTGTTTTAACCAGTGAACGAAGTTTTCACTGAAAAATAGTGGAATTTACTGAAGATCAGTGGATGTCACTGAAGCAATCAGTAAACTCTGCGTGTGCGCAGAAGTGTAAAATACTCGTAGCGTCATTTCTATGCAAATGTGGCACATTGCGCGGAATGTTTTTTTTTACATTAGTGACAAATTAATTTAAATTGGATGAAATTAGTGATTAGTGATTAAAGTAAACATTAAAGTGAGCATATTTTCTGTGGTTTCGGTGGTGAATTTAATAAATTTTCAAGTGGTTTTCCTTGAATTGGAAAAATAAATTTATAATGAAAATCTAACTCTAAATTCACAAAAATATTAGTGTTTTAAGTATAATAAAAAATAATAAATCATATACCCGTAAACATTTTAGACACATATTATTGCAAAATTTTATAATTGTTGGTTATAAATTGATTGAAAAGAAAATTAATACAGCTGCCATATTCGATAATACGTAACCGCTGATTGGACCAGCGACTATTCGCTGATTCTCAGTGGCATACTTATAGCTATTTGAATTAGCGACTATTCGCTGAGAATCAGTGAGTTTTCGCTGATTCTGATTTAGAGAGTACTTATAGTTTGAACGTGAAAGAAAAAAAAATAAACTCAGTTTAATGTTTTGTAAAACAGATCGATAGGTGGCGTAATAGTATATAGGTAGTTCACAGCGTTTACTCGATGTCAATTTCGCTCGATTTCAAAGTTTGCCAACGGGTCAAATGTCACCCCAAGAAGACCGATATCAGAAAAGCGCTCTTCGGACATTTATTTATTATACGGACAGGTTTTCTCGACAAGATATTACACACAAGTCTCACTCTCTCTGAGAGAGAGAGAGAGAGAGAAGTGTATTCTACCTTTTTTCCCATCACGATTAAACTTTATTTTACTCGCAGATATATTTTCATGCCAATCATCCTTTCGTTTATGGACATTTATTAAAAATTATCGTTTCACTTTTTTATTTTAGGTTTAGAACAAAAAAAAAAAAAATGTAGCAAAAAATATTCTTTCTGTTTCATTCAAAATGGATGAGGAATTAAAATAAACTTAGCAAATTTAAAAATAATAGAATTTAAAAATTTGTAATTCAAAATTATTGAAAATGGATTTTTTTTTTTTGGTATTTACTAAAAAAAATCCATTTTTTGGAAAAATTACAAATAATTGCAGAAATTCAATTATTTTCAAGAGTGATGAACATTCTTCTCATAAAATTCAATTATCTTTCAAATTAAAAAAAAAAAATTCTTGTCAAAATCTCAATTATCTTTATAAATAAAAAAAAACTCTTCCACAAAGTTCAATTATTTTCCATTTTCAAATCAATTTTAAATTCCCAATGGAAAACATTTAATTATTTTCATAAATAATAATAATTTCTCAGGAATTCAATTATTTAGAAATTTTTTATAAACTCCTTCGCAATAATTCAATTATTTTTATAAATAATAAAATTTTTTTCAAAGGAATTCAATTATTTTCATTAGAAAAATTAAAAATTGTAGAAAATAATAATTGATTTGAAATGATGAAAATAATTTTGAAAAAGTTCTTTATTGTTAAGAAAAAATAATATCTATTTATTAATTATTTTATTATTTCAATTCAAAAATTTGAGTAATTTTTAAAGAAATACTAATACTAATGTTTATAAAATTCTTATGAAGAATTCAATTACTTTCGAAAATAATAAAATTTTTTCACAGAAATTCAATTCTTTTTAAACATTTTAATAAACTTTTCCGCAATAATTCAATTACTTTTGAGAATTATAATAAAATTCCTAGCAATAATTCAATTATTTTTAAAAGTAATTCCTAGCAATAATTCAATTATTTTTAAAAGTAATAAATTTCTTCTTGGAAATTCAATTATTTTAAAAATTTCTAATAAATCGTTCGCAAGAATTCAATTATTTTCATAAATAGTAAAATGTTTTTTAGGAATTCAATTATTTTAAAAAAATGTAATAAAATTTCCCACAGAAATTCAATTATTGACCAATTTTTCAATAGAATTCTTTGTAAAATTTAATTATCTAAAAACTTTTCGCAATTCAATGATTTTCAATATTTACTATTTTCATAAAATTTCCAAACAGAATTTAATTATTTAAAAAATGGTTTGTAAAAATTTTCGTATGAATTCAATTCTTTTCATGAATAATACAAATTTTCATCAATTCAATTATTTAAATTAGAATTTGTTTAAAATTATTCGAAAGAAATGAATTATTTAAAAATTTTTATAAAATTCTTCGCTAAAATAAATTATTTTTTATATATATTTTAAATTCTTTCATGAATAATAAAATTCGTTGCAGGAATTCAATTTATTAGCAGGATAAGAAAAATGTAGATATTTTTCATGAAAATTAGGAAAAAGTCAGGAAAATAAAAAATATGGAATGGAATTTTTGTCAATTTTGTGAAGTGAATAAAACGAGTTTTTTTTGAATGCAGATAATTTGCTAACGGAAAGGAAAACTTACAATTATTATAATGTACATTAAAGGTATAATTAAAAAAAATTCAAATTTTGCAAAATCGATTTTTTTTACTATTTTGTTATGGAAATTTTGCAAAATTATTTCCTTGACCTATTTTTTTTTTATGTAAACTTTGATAAAATTGTTATAATTATTAACTATCGGTAGTAAATTTAAATAGGTACTTATTTTCAATTATAAAATTTTGCAAAATAATTTTTTATTATTATTTATTTATGGAAATTTTGTGAAATTATTTTTTTACTGACTATTAATTTGAATAATTTTGATAAAAGTAACAATTATTAACAATAATTTTAAAAAATTATTTTTTATTATTAATTATTTATGCAAATTTTGATAAAACTGTTGCAATTATTAACTAAAATAAATATTAAATATAATTATTTATTTTCAATTCAAGTTTTGCAAAATTATTTTTCTTTTTTTATTTATGGAAACTTTGAAAATTTTTTTTTTTTATTATTTATTTACGCAAACTTTGATAAAAGTGTTACAATTATTAATTATAGTAAAAATAATTACTTATTAAAATTTTATTAAAATAAACAATTAAATAAATAAAAAATAAATAAATAATTACCCATTATTTTTATTGCAATAATATAATTATTTTTCAGTATTTTACGATTCATAGTAAAAAACTGAAAAAAGAAATACAATAGTATTTCTTTTTTCAGTTTTTTACTTTTGTTGAAATATTTTAATTACTTATTGCTTTGATTACAATTTTTCCTTTTCGTTTTGTGTTTTAATATTTTATTCAAAAATAATTTTGTTTTTATTTTTCTTGCTAAAAATAATATTAATTCCGTATATATGAATAATTTTAACGTTAACACCGACTTTTTAATTAAAAATCGTGGTACATTTTAGAGCCATTGTTCTTTGAGGGTTTCAATTCAAAAGCATCTAAATTGTATGGTTTCGGTCTATATTTTGAGCCACACTTGAGTGCCGTAATTTGGAAGGGTTCTAATTCTGAACTTATGTTATTAATCAACTCCAAAGCATTTAAGAACAGAAGAAAAGAAGGAAATTTTTTAGTTATATTTATAGAAACTACAATTTTTCTCTTTTTTTCCAAATAAATTAATTTTTTCTTTCCTACCAACAGAAATTGAAAATGTTTTTAAAAAAAATAAATAAAAGAAGTAAAAGAATAATACGAAAACCTATAAATAAGAATAAAAAATTTATTTTTCGAAAATAATTTGAAAGAAAATTATGAAAAGAATTCGAAAAATATATTTTTAAAATAACTTGAAAAGTATTTTTGGAAAACAATTTAAAAATAAATGGAAAAATATATTTTTAAAAAAACTTTAAATGTATTTTTCGAAATTGATTGAAAAATTACTTTAAAATTATTTTTTGAAAATAATATGAAGAATATTTGAAAATAATTTTTGAAATTTTTAGAAGAAATATTAAAGGGAAATATTTTTTTACAGTTTCGGAATTTGCCCAAGAATTGGGCGGGGCAATGGAGTCCCATTCCGCCAACGTTCGTCGTCTCGTGGACGATTTTCGAAATCGTGCGGGTGACACGAGAGATTCCAGTGGAATGCGACGAGTTTGGGAGAATTTGTTGCGACAAGTTGAAGCAGATGCGACAACCCATCTCGATCTTGCTGGACTTTTACAACAACAAATATCGAGACCAACATCGGAAGCAAGTTTTCATCGTAAAGTACAATCCCGAAAGGTACATTTATCAATAGAAAAAAAATTCAATTCTGTATCAAAATAATTATATTTATGGGGGGGGGATCAATTCTAAATAGGAAAAATCCAATTGACAATAGAAAAATTTAATTTTAAATTAAAAACTCCAATTGTAAATCAAAAAAAATTGAATTTTAAATAAAAAAATTATTTCTCCACAAAAAAAATCAGTTATAAATAAACTAGGTAATTTTATTCTAATTTCTAAATAAAAAACTCAATTTTAAAAAGAAAAATTTAATTTAGACTGATAAAATTCAATTCTAAATAGAAACATTAAATTTCGAATAAAAAACTTCAATTCTAAGTTTAACAAAATTCAATTCGAAAAAGAAAATATTAATTCTGAATGAAAAAATTCAATTTTAAATAGAAACATTCAATTTTGAATGAAAAACTTCAATTTTAAATTTAAAAAATGAATTTTGGATGAAAAAATTCAATTTTAAATTTAAAAAAATGGATTTTGGATGAAAAAATAAATTCTAAATAAAAAAATTCAATTCTGAATGAGAAAATTAAATTGAAAATAGGAAAATTCAATTCTACTTATAAAATAAATTCTGAATGGAAAAAATCAATTCTCAATTAAAAAATTCAATTCGAAAAAGAAAATATTAATTCTGAATGGAAAAATTCAATTTTAAATGGAAACATTCAATTTTGAATGAAAAACTTCAATTTTAAATTTAAAAAAATGAATTTTGGATGAAAAAATTCAATTTTAAATTTTAAAAAATGGATTTTGGATGAAAAAATAAATTCTAAATAAAAAAAATTCAATTCTGAATGAGAAAATTAAATTGAAAATAGGAAAATTCAATTCTACTTATAAAATAAATTCTGAATGGAAAAAATCAATTCTCAACTAAAAAATTCAATTCGAAAAAGAAAATATTAATTCTGAATGGAAAAATTCAATTTTAAATGGAAACATTCAATTTTGAATGAAAAACTTCAATTTTAAATTTTAAAAAATGAATTTTGGATAAAAAAATTCAATTTTAAATTTAAAAAAATGGATTTTGGATGAAAAAATAAATTCTAAATAAAAAAATTCAATTCTGAATGAGAAAATTAAATTGAAAATAGGAAAATTTAATTCTACTTATAAAATAAATTCTGAATAGAAAAAATCAATTCTCAATTAAAAAATTCAATTCGAAAAAGAAAATATTAATTCTGAATGGAAAAATTCAATTTTAAATGGAAACATTCAATTTTGAATGAAAAACTTCAATTTTAAATTTAAAAAAATGAATTTTGGATGAAAAAATTCAATTTTAAATTTTAAAAAATGGATTTTGGATGAAAAAATAAATTCTAAATAAAAAAATTCAATTCTGAATGAGAAAATTAAATTAAAAATAGGAAAATTAAATTCTACTTATAAAATAAATTCTGAATGGAAAAAATTAATTCTCAACTAAAAAATTCAATTCGAAAAAGAAAATATTAATTCTGAATGGAAAAATTCAATTTTAAGTGGAAACATTCAATTTTGAATGAAAAACTTCAATTTTAAATTTAAAAAAATGAATTTTGGATGAAAAAATTCAATTTTAAATTTTAAAAAATGGATTTTGGATGAAAAAATAAATTCTAAATAAAAAAATTCAATTCTGAATGAGAAAATTAAATTGAAAATAGGAAAATTCAATTCTACTTATAAAATAAATTCTGAATGGAAAAAATCAATTCTCAATTAAAAAATTCAATTCGAAAAAGAAAATATTAATTCTGAATGGAAAAATTCAATTGTAAATGGAAACATTCAATTTTGAATGAAAAACTTCAATTTTAAATTTAAAAAAATGAATTTTGGATGAAAAAATTCAATTTTAAATTTTAAAAAATGGATTTTGGATGAAAAAATAAATTCTAAATAAAAAAATTCAATTCTGAATGAGAAAATTAAATTGAAAATAGGAAAATTCAATTCTACTTATAAAATAAATTCTGAATGGAAAAAATCAATTCTCAACTAAAAAAATTCAATTCAAAAGAGAAAATATCAATTCTGAATAAAAAAATTAAATTTTAAATAGAAACAATCAATTTTAAATGAAAAACTTCAATTTTAAATTTAAAAAAATGGATTTTGTATGAAAAAATTCAATTTTACATAGAAAAATTAAATTTTGAATGATACAAAATTCTATTTTTAATAAATAATTTCATTCTAAATAAACAAAATTTTATTTAAACACAAAATTCAATTATACTTAATAAAATCAATTCTAAATAAAAAAATTTAATTCTGAACAATAGAAAATTGTATTCTAAACAAATAATTTTATTCTAAATAATCAAATTTTATTTTAAGTCAAAATTTAATTCTGAATAAGGAAATTAAATTGTAATTAGGAAAATACAATTCTACTTTATAAAATCAATTCTAAATGAAAAAATTCAATTCTGACCTAAAGAAATTAAATTCTAAAGAGAAAATTTCAAATCTGAATAAAAAAATGTTGTCTAACTAAAAAAATTCAATTCTAAATGACAAATCTTACTCTAAAAAAAGAATTTAATTTATTTAAACAAAAAACTTCCATTCTGCATTAAAAAATTCAACTCTAAATTTAAAAAAATCTAATTCTAAATATGAAAGATTCAATTCTGATAATAAATTCAATTTTTAATAAAATATTTTATTCTAAATAAACAAATTTTATTTTAAAGAAAAAAAAATTTTCTGTTGGCAAAAAAAATGCAATTCTTTATGAATAAATTCATTTATTAATAAAAATATTCAAATCCCCCCAAAAAATGCTATTCTGAATAAAAAAAATGAATTTTAAATTAGTAAATTAATTTTTAATTAACAAAAATTCAATTCAAAGTAAAAAAAAAATAAAGTTTTTCGTAGGAGGGAAAAAAATTCAATTCTCAGTAAAGAAAAATTCTATTATAAATTTCTAATTGAATAAATTTAATTCTAAGTAAAGAAATTTAATTTTTTCCCTAATAATTGAATTCTTCTTCCTACAAAATATTTATATTTTACTTAGAATTGAATTTCTTTGCATAGAATTGAATTTCCATATTTGGAATTAAATTTCTTTACTTAAATTTGAATTTATTCACTTAGAATTGAATTTTTTACTTAGAATAGAATTTCCCCCTCAACAAAATTTTATTTTTTCACGTAGAATTGAATTTCTCTATTAGGAATTGAATTTCTAAAAATTTTTTTTAATTAAAATTGAATTTATTTACAAAATAATTTCATTTTTTACTTAATTTTTGTTCCCTTACAAAAATGTAAATTTTTTTAAATAATTGAGTTTTTACTCAATATAGGGTAAATGCACTAGTAGTCGGACACTTAAGGATACAATCTTAAATTATGCTTCTTTTCTTGAAATAGCAAATATCTACTGTGTTTATAAGCACATTATTAATTAAAGGAGTTCTTCAGGATTAAAAATCATATAAATTTGTTACAAATAGTTGAGTATTTAATAAAATATAAACATTTTAATAAAAAATTACGAATGCTTTAGTAGTCGGACACTTTTTCCCCTTGTTTCTATAGTCGGACATCTGTCAGATATTTTGAATTTATAAAGTGAAAAAGATAATTTTTTAATTGCTATCTGCTGGAAAATGGAATTAAAGCATATTAGAAGTTATTAATATAATATTTAAACCCTATACGTTTTAATATTTATGATTAATTATCAACAAAACTTTGTGCCACTCATCGCGCTACTCGAAAATGGTTGTATCTATAGTCGGACACCATGATTTTTAAAACATTAAATAAAATATTTCTTGTTTAATTATTTTCAAAAATAACACTATTTTAATAAAATATCAACTTTACACATTCGTCTAGTATACTTTTTAAAGTAATTATCACAATGCATTATTATTTATTTGCCAAAAAACACGAAAGTGTCCGACTACTAGTACTGTCCGACTATACCCGCACTTACCCTATAGAAATTCAATTCTAATTAAAAAATACAATTTTTGGGAGAGGAAAAATGTTATTCTAAGTAAAAAATTCAATTTTAAGCAATGACATTCAATTGTAAGTAAAAAATATAAATATTTCGTAGGGGGAAGAATTCAATTCTTAGGAAAAAACAAAATTTTTCCTACAGATAAAAATTCAATTCTAAGTAAAAAATAAATATTTCGTAGGGGGAAGAATTCAATTCTTAGAAAAAAACAAAATTTTTCCTAGAGGTAAAAATTCAATTCTAAGTAAAAATTAAATATTTCGTAAGGGGAAGAATTCAATTCTTAGGAAAAAACAAAATTTTTCCTACAGGTAAAAATTCAATTCTAAGTAAAAAATAAATATTTCGTAGGGGGAAGAATTCAATTCTTAGGAAAAAACAAAATTTTTCCTACAGGTAAAAATTCAATTCTAAGTAAAAAATAAATATTTTCGTAGAGGGAAAAATTCAATTTTAAGTAAAAAATAAATATTTTCGTAGGGGAAAAAATTAAATTTAAGTAAAAAATAAATATTTCGTAGAGGGAAAAATTCAATTTTAAGTAAAAAATACTACCGATTTTTCATAGGAGGAAAAAAATACAACTCCTAGTTATAAATTTCGAAAAAAATACTAACTTTTATTTTTATTTTTTCACAATAAAAATAACAAATAAAATACAAAAAAAAACAATGAACAAAAGCAGAGGGAAAAAAATCAATAGAGTAAAAATTTGTTGATGAAAAATTCTTTTATCCATTTCTTTTTTCTCTTTTTTTTCTCTATATATTCAGATATTTGCGCATCGCGAGGCTTACGAGCAGGTAGTGAGTAAGACAGAGGAGAAATTGCAGAGGGCCAGAACAGATTACAAGCGGGCATACGCCGCTTTATTGAATAGCGAGAGCGGAAACGATCAAGAATTGAAGCGAGCCTATCTCGAGGCTCACAATGCTTACGTTCTTCAATTGCGAGCGACCAATGCCATCACTGAACGCTACCAATATCAATGCCTTCCTGGTCTACTAAATGAAATCGCCGAGGTCTACGAGGAATTATGTGGACTCGCCTGTAACTGTATTGCCGGAATTTCCGACGCTGCCGGCGAACGTTCACAAGAACAATCGAAACGCTTTCAAAACCTCACCAAAGAGGCTCGTGCAATCTCATCTCAAAATGATTTGCAGGCAAGTATTTTTCACCCCTTCATTAATTTATATCTATTTATTTATTTTCAATTATTTTTTCATTATTATTTATTCTTTATTTATTTATTCATTATTTATTTTATTATTAGAAAATTTTTTATTTTCAAATATAAATTTTTTAAATAATTTTTTAATCAAAATTTAAAAAATTCACTCATTAAGTACAACATTAATTATTACTGTTCATATTTTCAAAAATTTTAATAAATCATTCGAAAAAATTCAATTATTTTTATAAATAGTAAAATTCTTCACAAGAATTCAATTAATTTTATAAATACTAAAATTCTTTGCAGGAAGTAATTATTTTTAATCAAATTTAAATAAAATTACACGAAAGAATTTAATTATTTTAAATAATTTCATAATCAAAATTTAGAAAATTCACTTATTAAGTACAACATTAATTATTACTGTTCATATTTACAAAAATTTTAATAAAATTTCACGAAAGAATTACATTATTTTCAAAAATTTTAATAAATCCTCCAAAACAATTCAATTATTTTTTTAAATAGTAAAATCTTTACCAAAATTCAATTTTTTTGAAAACAATTTTAATTGAGTTCTTCGGAAGAATTCAATTTTTGAAAAAAATTTTAGCACATTTAGAAAAAATTCAAATTTTTTTTCTAAAATTTTAATAAATCATTCGAAAAAATTCAATTATTTTTATAACTAATAAAATTCTTCACAAGAATTCAATTAATTTGATAAATATAGTAAAATTCTTTGCAGGAATTCAATTATTTTCAAAACAATTTTAATTGAATTCCTCGGATTTTAATAAATCCTTGGAAAAAATTTAATTATTTTTATAAATAGTAAAATTCTTCACAAGAATTCAATTAACTTTATAAATACTAAAATTCTTTGCAGGAATTAAATTATTTTTAATCAAATTTAAATAAAATTACACGAAAGAATTTAATTATTTTAAATAATTTCATAATCTAAATTTAGAAAATTCACTTATTAAGTACAACATTAATTATTAATATTCATATTTTCAAAAATTTTAATAAAATTTCACGAAAGAATTCCATTATTTTCAAAAATTTTAATAAATCCTTCAAAACAATTCAATTATTTTTTTAAATAGTAAAATCTTTACAAAAATTAAATTATTTTGAAAACAATTTTAATTGAGTTATTCGGAAGAATTCAATTTTTGAAAAAAAATTTAGCACAATTCGAAAAAATTCAAATTTTTTTCTAAAATTTTAATAAATCCTTCCAAACATTTCAATTATTTTTATAAATAGTAAAATCCCTTGCTGAAATTTAATTCTTTTCAAAACAATTTGTCTCCCCTTAATAAATAATAAAAAATAGTAAATAATTAAAAATATTTACTCAATTGTAATAATAACAATTATTATTATTTTTATCATTATTTATTCATGGATAATTATTTCTTTCCTATTTTTTTATCAGCTCTTTAAATAATTTATTTTATTTATTTGTCAAAACTACTATTTTATTTATTGATTTACTTTTTTCGAATTGTTTACTTAAAATTTTATTTATTTTAATACTCGTTGTTCAACTGAGTAAATTAAAAAATAATTTAAAAAAAATTTATTTTGAAAGATCAATTTCAATTTTTGAATAATTTCAGATTCAAAAATACAATAAATTCAATTATTAACAAATTTACTAATTAATTATTATTGTTTATTATTCTCAAAAATTTTTATAAAAATCTTCTCGAGAAATCAATTATTTTCATAAACAATGAAATTCTTCAGAAAAATTCAATTATTTTTCTAAATAGTACAATTCTTCGTAGGAATTCAATTATATTAAATAAAGTTTCATGAAAGAATTCAATTATTTTTAAAAATTGTTATAAAATTTTCTGACAGAATTCAATTCTTTTCTAAAGTTTTTTTTTATAAAGTTCTTGGAAACAATTCAATTATTTTATTGACAATATTTTAATAAAATTTCTCGAGAGGATTCAATTATTTTTAAAAATTGTAATCAAATTCTGTGAAGAATTCAATGATTTTCTATAAAGTTTTAATAAAGTTGTTGGAAATAATTCAATTATTCAATCAGAGAATTCAATTAATTTTAAAAGTTTTAATAAAATCTTTTTGAAAGAATTCAATTATTTTCAAAAACTTTCATAAAATGTTTCAAAAGAATTCAATTATTTTCAAAGAAAAAGTTCATTTCTTTGCATGAATTCAATTATTTCCAGTACAATTTTTATTTGTTTATTTATTACTTTTGAATTATGAATTTTTCCATTTTACTTTTTTTAAATAATTTTTATTATATAATATGTGCAAAATGGTTTTTGTTGGACCCATTTATAATTAAATTCAAATTCGATTCTAAGCAAAGAAATTCAATTCTAAGTAAAAATTAAATTTTTTTGTGGGAAAAATTCTATTCTAAGTAAAAAAATTCAATTCTAAATTTCTAAGTGAATAAATTCAATAGTAAGTAAAAAAATTCAATTCGAAGCAAAGAAATTCAATTCTAAATAGAGAAATTCAATTCAATTTTTTTAATAAATATTTTCTATATAATGGACAATAATTATGGTAAATAAATATTTATTTATTAAAAAAAATGATGATTATTATTATTATTTTTTTTTTTATTATGTAATAATAATTTTTCTCGGTAATAATTATTATGATTGGATAACGAATTCACTGGGAAGCAGATGCATAATTTAAAACACGTGAAATTATGCATTTGATCGAATAAAGATTTGAAGGGAATTTCTGTCTCTCTCTCTCTCGTGGTCCATGGCTTGCATAGACGGTTATAAAGTATTAGCATAATTCTAATTTTCTGCGAGCAAAAGTTTCTCACCGAGATGATGATACGATAAATTCTATTAGGTTTTGGCACGAAGTTTGTCATCTGCAGCTACTGTTCGAAAGCCACCACGTCGTCTATTCGTGACTCCAGCACCACCGGATCAGGTGCCAGTTGAGAGGCTAAATCAAGTTCCTACATTGCGCGACGAGTTGGTACCAACCGGAACCAGTACCCTACCTTTGATGGATGATTTGCATAGAGAATCTGAAAGTTTGACACAGGAAATTGGACGTCTACAGGATGCCCTTGAGGCTCTAACTCGTATGCAACGAAAGTAAGTCGAGAAAAATTATTTTTATTTTACCCCTCATTATTCCAAGTCTCGTCATTTTTATGGACAAATTATATTTTTACCCCATTTTATACTGTATTTATTACTATACTTTTCATTTTTTTTTATTATTTTTTTTATCATTTTGGTCATTTTTTAAATTATATTTATATTTATTATTTACTTCTATTTTTCTAATTTATTTTTATATTCATTGGTTTATTTATTGAAACTGAAATTTCACTACTTTTCCTTCTTTCCTTTTTTTTTCTTTATACACAAACTTTCAATTCTAAACAAAAACATTTTATTCTGAATAAAAAATTCAATTCTGAATGCAAAAATCCAAATCTAAATAAAAAAAAATCATTTCTGATTGAATAAATTCAATTCTAATTTCTAAATATAAGGGAATTTTGTTCTTAAAGAAAAAATTCAATTCAAAATAGAAAATAAACTTTTTTGGGGTAAAAATTCTATTGTAAGTAAAAAATAACATTTTTTGAAAAAAAAATTCAATTCTAAGAAAATAAAAGAAATAAAAAATTAAATTAGTAAAAAATTAAATTTTTTGGGGGGAAAAATTCTATTTTAGGTAAAAAATTAAATTTTTTGGAAGAAAAATTCTATTTAAGTAAATAAATTCAATTGTAATTAAAGAAATTCAATTCTAAATAGAGAAATTCAATTCCAAGCAAAGAAATTTAATTCTAGGTAAAAAATTAGATTTTTTGGGGGAAAAATTCTATTTTAGGTAAAAAAAATCCAATTCTAAGTAAATAAATTCAATTGTAAGTAAAGAAATACAATTCAAAGCAAAAAAATTCAATTCTAAATAGAGAAATTCATTTCAAAGCAAAGAAATTCAATTCTAAGTAAAAAATAATTTTTTTTGGGGGGAAAATTCTATTTTACGTAAAAAAATTCAATTCTAAGTGAATAAATTCAATTGTAAGTAAAGAAATTTAATTCTAAATAGAGAAATTCAATTCTAAGTAAAAAATAAAATTTTTTTGTGGGAAAAATTCTATTCTAAGTAAAAAAATTTAATTCAAAGTAAATAAATTCAATTGTAAGTAAAGAAATTTAATTCTAAATGTAGAAATACAATTCGAAGTAAAAAATAAAAATTTTTTGGATGAAAAATTTTATTCTAAGTAAAAAACTTCAATTTATTATTAAAACAGAAATTTCACTATTTTTCCTTCTTTCCTTCTTTTTCCTTTATATAAAAAATTTTAATGTTAAACAAAAATATATTATTCTGAATAAAAAATTGAATTCTGAATGAAAAAATAAAAAAAATTCAATTCTGAATGAAAAAAATTCATTCAAACTAGAAAATTTTAATTTTGAACGAGAAAATTTCAATTCTAAATAGAAAAATGTATTTTTATATAAAATAATTCAGCTCAAAATAAAAGAATTTAATTATGAACAAAAAAATTCAATTCTGAACGAAAAAATTCATTCAAAATAGAAAATATTAATTTTGAACGAAAAAATTTCAATTCTAAATAGAAAAATTTATTTCTAAATGAAATAACTCAACTCTAAATAAAATAATTTAATTCTGAACAGAAAATTCAATTCTGAACGGAAAAATTCAATTCTGAACAAAAAAATTCATTCAAAATAGAAAATTTTAATTTTGAAGGAAAAAAATTCAATTCTAAACAGAAACATTTATTTTTAAATGAAATAATTCAACTCTAAATAAAAGAATTTAATTCTGAACAAAAAAAATTAATTCTAAATAGAAAAATTCAATTACGAACGAAAAAATTCAATTATAAATAAAAGAATTCAATTCTGAATGCGAAAATATATCCAATTCTAAATAGAAAAATTCAATTTTAATTATAAAAAATGTGATTTCTAAGGAAAAGAATTCAATTCAGAACAAAAAATTCAATTCTAAACTAAAAAATTTTATTCTACGTAAAAAATTGAATCCTGAATGAAAGAATTCAATTCTAAATAAAAGCATTCGATTCTGATTGAAATAATTCAATTATAAATGAAATACTTCCTCCACGAGGAAGCAATAAATTCAATTCTACATAAAAAAAAATCTAATTCTAAATAGAAAAATTCTATTCGAAAATAAAAAATTGAATTTTGTATGAAAAAATTTAATTCTAATTAAAAGAATTTTTTTAGAAGGATAAATTTAATTCTAAATAAAAATATTCAAAGCTGAGTGAATAGATTTAATTTTAAGTAAAAATATTCAATGCGTAAAAAAAAAGTTTTTTACAGGGAAAAATTCAATTTTAAGTAAAAAAAAATAAATTTTAATTGATTAAATTCAATTCTAAATGTAGAAATTGAATTCAAAGCAAAGAAATTAAATTCTAAGAAAGAAATAAAAATTTTTTTTTTGGAAAAATTGTATTCTAAGTAAGAAAATTCAATTTTGAGTGAATAAATTCATTTTGTAAGTAAAGAAATTCAATTCTAAATAGAGAAATTCAATTCTAAGTAAAAAATTAATTTTTTTTTGGGAAAAATTCTATTCTTAGTAAAAAAAAAATTCAATTCAAAGTGAATAATTTGAAGAAAAGAAATTCAATTCTAAGCAAAAAATAAAAAAATTTTTTAGGGGAAAATTTAATTTTGAGAATATGATTACAATATATGTGAATACATTAAATTCAAAATAAAATAAATTTAATTCTGAATAAAGTGAATTCAATTCTGAATAAAAAAATAAAGAAATTTCATTCTATAAGTAAAAAATAATAATAATAAATTTAAAAAGAATAATTAAATTTAACTGAATTAGTTTAATGAATTTTCATAATTTTTGTCCACTTTGAAATGTCTTCTTTCGAAATAAAGATGAAAAATTAATTATGCTAATTAATACAAAGGACATTTTTTTCTATTGAACATTCTAATTAAAAATTTAAAGCAAAAAAAAAGAGATTCCCTAATGGAAACTATTAAAAAGGAGAATATTTTCTAGTCGGTTTTTTTTGCTTTTCTTTTCTTTTTTTTTGTAGGAAAAAAGAATTATTCTCGATTTTGTAAAATATGAGACGCTTTGTGGAATAAAAGAGAGTCAAGAGGCAATGCCACAGTTACAAAGACTCTTTTTAACATCAGAATTTCATCCCTTGAGAATTTACACATATATACATTCACCAACATATAACCCGTGAGCTTTCAAAAATATACATATTCCCTGGTTCATCATAAATTAATTTATTTCCGTGAAAATATTATCCATCTTCTTTCAATGAACGTCCTAATCTTTCACAATCAAAAAAAAAAGGAAAAAAAAATTTTTTTTTATGTATAAATAATCTCCTTTTTATCTCTCTATGGAAAATATAATTTTTTCTTTTCATATATAAAAATTTACTTTTGAAATAAATTTTTCATCTCAATTTCTATATTTTTCTTGTTATGAAAAAAATTAATTTTTAAATTTGGATTTTTTTTTAAAAAAGGAAAATTGTTTTTTAATAGTAAAAAAGTCACTTCTGTATATTTTTCTTGATAAAAATTAATTTCAAACATTCACTGTAATTATTAATTATTAGGTATTTTCCCATTAAATTTTAAAAAACAGAAAATTATTTTTTAAAAAATCATTTCACTTTCTAATTTCTATATTTTTCTATTTTCTATTGTGTGAAAAAATTAAATATTGTTAGGGGAACATAGTCTAGGTCGGCCACCTTTTTGACTTTTGTTTATAACTTTTTTTTAAAAATGAATTTGGACAATTGAAGTATATGGTTGGAAAGTCCTGTTTAATAGGAACATTTTTTCTGTACAAAGTAAATTGACAGGTTTAAAAATGAAAAAGTTATAAAGATTTAAAAAAAAAAAAATTTGTAGTCCAGGTTGGCCATTACAGTCAAGGTCGGCCATGTTTAAAATTCAAAGGGCATTAATCGTTAAAAAATAAAATGACATGTTTAGAGTTACGGAAAATTGATTCTTTATTGTTTACAGTTTGTAACTTAATGAAATAACAAAATAATAACAATAAACAATATAAAAAAATAAATATAAATAAAAAAAATTTTTGCACTAAAATATTAATAAAATTAAATAAAAATATTAATAAGATGATCAATTATATTATGAGTTATACAGAATTGCAGTTTTTGCAAATGAAGTAGCTCGTCCTCAACTTTGCGCATTTTAAACACATAGTGGCCGACCTTGACAGTAAGTAACATTACCGAATTGTTGTAACCATAAAGAAATACGTTTCGGGATTCGATTTTTTACTTTGTTTTCCTTTCAACCATGAGTCCCACAAATTTTCTGCATACTTGCCTTGACGATTCAATTTGTTTTTTATCTTTTATTAATGGTTTTTCACATTATGCACAAAACTTTTTTTGAGCTTTTTTTGTACCGACGTCACAGAAAACACAATTTTCGATTTTCCGAAAATGTAATTGAACAAAAAGTTAGGTTTCACTAAGACAAGCTTCGACAAAAATGCGCGTAGGTGGCGCTAGTGAACTTGACAAAAAAACGCGAGTGGCCTACCTAGACAGTAGGCCAACCTTGACTACATTCCCCTACAATTATTTTGTTTCAAATAATTTTTACTTTTCGAAGTTAACGAACAAAGACAAAAATTATTCAAAAAAAAAATAATCCAACTTTATGGAAAGATAATTTATCCGCTTATTTATTATTTTTCCAAAGGAAAATAATTTTTCCTTTATGTGTCAGAAAAGAATCTTCGATTTGAAAATAGAAAATTTATTCTGTGAATATTTTTCTTTTGATCCTGCAACGTTTTCTTTTGGGGGGGGGTTCCTTATTTTTCATTTTTTTTTTTTATGAAGATATATCTTGAAAAGAGAAATGAATGCATGCAAAAAAAAATGGAGAAAATTCAAATCCTATATCGTGAATTTTCTCTATTTTTTTTTCTTTTTAGCTTTCTTTCAATCACTCTGGAATTCCATATCAAAGTAGAAAAATTCGATTTACTTTTTCGCTTACAGAAGCGTGGAGGGAAATGTTCACACCAAAATTGCTGAGCTTCAGGAAGATATTTCAATGAAACGCTTTGATCTAGGAGTGGCACAACTTCATTTAGCTGCTGTTCAAGCTCAGGTAAGATTTCTTTTGTTTCAATTAAAAAAAAAATTTATTCAAACTCACAATTTTTGTCCCATATTTTACAATTGGAATAATTTATTTATCACAAAAATTTTTGAATATTTTGACGAAATTTCAATTCGATGTTTTTATTTCATATTTATTTAAAAAATAAAATATTTCGTTTAAGATTTTTATTTATTAACTTACGATTTTAGTCGGTTATTTATTTATAGAATAAAATATTTTATTTTGTTGTTTATAATTTAAACATTTTACTCGTTTAATTATTTACTAACTAAATAAATTATTCGGTTAACTTTTTAGTTAATAAATAACTAACTAAATAAAATAAATATTTTTTTATTCATTAACTAAATAATTTCAACTTTATTATTATAAATTTGCCGAGTAATAGCTTCAATTACATATTCATTAACTAAATATTTTATTTAGTTTCTTATTTACATAGCAAATATTTTGTTAATAATTAATCAAAAAATGTATTTAATTAATAAATAAGTAACCAAATAAAAAATAAATATTTTTTATTGATTCACTAAATATTTTATTTAGTATTTTATTTATATAGTAAATATTTTGTTGATAAATAATCGAAAAAGTTAATTAGTAAATATGTAACCTAATAGAATATTTAATTAGTAAATAAATAATCTAAGAAAATATTTAGTTACTGTTAAATAAAAAACCTAGTAAAATATTTACTTAATAAATAAATAACCAAATAGAATATTTAATTAGTAAATAAATAATCTAATAAAATATTTAGTTACTGTTAAATAAAAAACCTAGTAAAATATTTAGTTAATAAATAAATAACCAAAGAAAATATTTAAGTAGTAAATAAACAACCAAATAAAATATTTTGTTAATAAATAAACAACCGAATAAAATATTTTGTTAATAAATAAATAACCAAATAAAAGATATTGTTGACAAATTAACAACCAAATAAAATATTTAGTTAATAAATAAAAAACTAAATGATTGTTTTAATTTTTAAATAAATAACTAATTATATCTAAATAAAATAAAACTTTTAAATAAAAAATACAAATAATTGATTTTTTGTTGTTGTAAAAAACGAAATTAATAAATAAATAACCAAATAAAATATTAATCATGCAGAATATTCAGTTAATAAATAAATAACGAAATGGAATATTTAGTTCATAAATAAAGAACGAAATGAAGAAAGTAATATTTTGAAAAAATAATATTTACAAAATTTGTGTATAAAAATAAAAAAAATGCAACAAATTTTTCTCAAAGATAAAAAAAAACGTGACAAGTTTATGCAGTGACAGTTTTGAATAGCAATTTTTCTTTTGTTTCTGAGTTTAGTCATTTTGAAAGATTGCAAATAAATATTAGCTTGACGAAATTTTTTTTTCCTACAGTTTTCTTGAGAAAATTTCCTTGTTCTTTTTTTCTCCATAGTCTTTGTATATATAAAGAAAAATGAGATGAATATCGTATATAACGAAATGGAACATACACACACACACACACCCAAAGTAATGGAGGAAAAAACATCTTAAGATAAACTTTATGAAAGGTGGAAAAAGTTTTTTACTTTCGGAAGAAAACTTGAAAAAAAGTTTTTCTTCCTGCCATTGGTAACATGGGAGAAACTTTGATTTATCGTCACCATCAGTTCATCAGATCACGTGACATATTTTTCAGAACAGTTCTGATTGTGCATTAGATTTCAACTCTTGAGGTTTATATTTTTATTTATTTGTGTCTGTGTGTGTGTGTGTAACTTTTCTTTTAGGAAAATTACTATATACATTTTATGTATTGAAAAGTAAATTTTTAATTTTTATTTTTTTATATCAATTTTCTGAATCTAATTTTATAGAAATTTTTAAATCTAATTTTTTACATTTCTGAATTTTATTTACTATTTATTTAAAATTATACTAAATATTTTATTCGATAAAGTATTATTACTGTAATAATATTGTTACATTGATTGCTTTAACATTGGAATAATTTTATTACTTTAATAATTTTATTGCTATAAATAATTTTATTGATATATAAATAATTTTATTGCTATAAATAATTTTAATGCTATAAATAATTTTATTGATATAAATAATTTTAATATTCTATTTAAACAAAAAATCTAATTTTTAAATACAAAACTCCATTCTACAAAAAATATTTTATTCATAATAAAAAATTCTATTTTCAATAAAGAAACGATTCTATTTTGAATACGAAATTCAATTCTAAGGAAAGGAGTAAAACCATTAATAAATAAACAACTAAAAGTAATATTTAATTAATTAAATAATTAACAAAATGAAATATTTAATTTTCTAAATAAACACCTAAAAAAATATTTAGTTAATAAAAAAACGACTAAATAAAAAATATTAATAACAATATTATTATTATTTTTGTTATTAATTATTAGGTATTAATTTTACAATAATTAATTTATTAAGTTATTAATTATCAATAATAGTAAAAAAAAATTTAGTATTAATATTATTATTTATTATTTTTCACTACTTTAGAGTATTATTAATGGGATTTTCATTAATAACTGTAAAATTATCACCGCACTTATAATGTTATATAATTTTCTATTCTTTTTCTTTATCAAGAAATACATGCATTTTTCATTTACGTAAAAGGATTTGCGATTTGCATATTTAAAGAAGGTGACACTCCAAGGATAAATATTTCCTAAAGAAATGTTTTAAGAAGAAACTTAAAATTGAAAAAAAATTCACTTTGATGATTATGATAAAAGAAGAAGAGTTCTTGTAGAATATTTACTATTTCTTCTATTCAAATTAATATTGAATTTAATATCAAAATTATTAATGTGTACATATTAAAAAAAGACAACTAACTTTTCTTCTTTAATTTTCACGTTTGTCCATTTTTTTCGCATTCAATTTATTTCAATATATTTATTTTCACAAAATGTAAAAATTTACGTACTATTATTAATATTCCCCAAAACTACCCCCACCCCCAAAAAATAGGTCCCACTAGCAATAAATTTTAAATAAATAAATAAAAATAAATTTTTCCCCAAGTAAATAAAAATAAATTCCTACAAAACTCCCTCCAATTCAAAAAAAGTAAATTTCACTACCAATTCATTTTAAATAAATAAATATAAATAAAATTTTCCCCAAATAAATAAAAATAAATTTCCCAAAATTCCCCCCAACCCCAAAAAAATAAATCGCACTGCCAATTAATTTTAAATAAATAAATATAAATAAAATTTCCCCTTAATAAATAAAAATAAATTTCCCAAAAGTCTCTCCCTCAAAAAAAAAAAAAAAAAAAAAAAAAAAAAAACTCGTTCCACTAGCAATAAACTTTAAATATATAGTTATATAAATATTAAATATAGATAAATTTTTATAATAAATGTTTCAGACTAAAAAATAATAAATAGAAAATTACAATTATTTCTCATAATAAAAATTATTTCTAGAGAATCTGTATTTTAAATAAAATAAGTAAAAATAAATTTTTTCGAAAAAATTTTAATTTGAAAACAAAAAAATATTTGTCATTTCTAAGTGATTGATGAGATGGTTAAAAAAATTTTTTTTTTCTGTATAAAAATTATGTTTTGAGAAGCGAGGCATCTGAACTAACACGTAATGCATTTCAAATATCTCATCTTTTGCCAAGACATGAGACATGAAATTTATTTCATTGCTTTGCCACGAAAAAAAAACTATTTCATTCCTTCTTCGAATACAAATTAATCTCAACTTACATTATAGTTACATTGTTTAAAAAATATTTTTCTTTAATGTAAAATTTATTATTTCTTCGCGAAAAAAATATTTTTACTTTTTAAAATTAATAAATAGCAAAATTAAATAAAAATAAGAAATGAAAAAAGAATTTCAGAAAAAAGTAGTTTTAATTAGGTTATAAATAAAAAAAAGTAGGTAACAATTAATAAATAAAAAAATAACAAACAAGAAATTAAATAAGCGAATAAATTATAAATTTTATTATATTATTATATTATTATATTATTTTGAGTAAATAAACAAGTAAATCAATAATTAATGGATTGTGACAGCGATAGTCGTGGTCGTTAAGGCGCAGGTTAATGCAGATTAGGTTTAACGTTCAGGGTTCGATCCCCGTTGGGAGTGAAAATTTTTAATAGTAAATAGATAAATAAGTAAATATATAATAAGTAAATAAATAAGTTAGTAAATAATCTAATAAATAAATAAAGTAAATTACATAGAAAAAAATTAAAAAGTTCTATTTTACGTTTTAAATTAGAATTATTCGAATAAGTAAAAGAAAAGATTTGAAGAACAATTTTTTTTGGAAGAAAAGTTAGATTGTGAAGAATTTTTTTATTATTATTTATAAAAATAAATATAGATATGTGAAAGTACTTGAAACTAAATGTAATTTAATGGCTCGTATTTAATCTAGCTCTGTGTTACTCACTGTAATTTAACGCTCCAGTGAAATTAGTTCTGATTATTTTGAATTACCTGCCGTTTAGGAAGCAACCAACAATTTATTCTCATTTAACCAAAATCATGCTTCAAAACAGCAAATATATTCTAATTATTTTCAAAACTAATAAAAGCGCATTAATTTGTGACGATTCATCATTTTACAAATTTCAAAGACACACATAAACGTACTCAAATTTCAACATTATTTGTTTATATTTGTGTTTTTATTATGATTATTATTTATAAATGAAAATAATAAATGAATTTAATTATTTATGGAACTAATAAATAAATTTATTTATGAAACAAATAAACTATATATTTCAAATTATTTATTTTATTTTAATTATTATTGTAAGTAATTTTATTTTATATTTTAATTTCATTAATTAATTATGAACTAGCCAATGTTACTCGCGCTTGCGCGCGGAATATGTTGTTCCATTTATTATTATTATGCAAATTACAAAATTTTCTATTTACAAATCTAAATTTTTAAATAATTTTATAATAAAA